AATTGTGTTGCATTGCGTCCTTGCATTCAATTGGTGCTCTGAGTAGCTTCTGTCTCAGGAAACTCTGACTTGTTCCTCAACGATTTCTCTTGTGTTGTGGTTTAACTTTCCTTCACTTCTGTCCGTTTTAAAATGGTTTTACTACTGTTTGTCTGATTTCTTTCTGCGTTGTTCCTTTCGCAATTTCTGTTACTTTGCCAGCTGACCTTCTCGAAATTACTTGGCTGGTTGAAATTTTCTGTCCAAAATACTCGTCTTTCCGGACCAAATGATTGCTTGCTTTTGATTGGTTATTCAAATGCCTTGCTCTGTTAAGAGATTCACTGTTCAGCTATTCCTTGACTTTTTGGTTGGATGTGAGCCGCAAATGGGACATATCCAGCTGAACAACATTGCAAAAGAAACATTCAGCTGGTATTCAAGGAGTTTCAGTTTGACAGGCAGTCAACTTGCAACTGAGTGCTGGATACAAATGGGGCTACTAAATTTTCCAACTCCAACCCAAACTATCAAATACTAATAAGTAATATCAAGTACTAACAAGTGCTCGCAAAATATTGGTCGCACTTTCGTCTCGCGTTTCTAGTAAGTTCGGTTACACTTTCCATACTCAAATCCTGAGCCAATAAGCACTGTGTAAGAGGAGAAGGGGGATTCTTTGGACGAGACCGGAATAAATGAACTCTCCAAATCTCAGTTCATCAAAAGCTGTCAAAAAATGGTTTTCTATGTATGTAATTTGCTTGTAAGTTATATTTCCGTGTCTCAAACACTACTCACAATGGTAAGCTCAGATTGTTACTCCCAACCGAAAGCAAATACGGAGTTCTGCGATAAAGGTGTCATGATAACGATCAATATGCGTGTTCATATCCATAAAATTTGGGTGACAACATTTCTATGTTGGAAATATAGTCAAGTTTTCCTGCTCAACAGTTCTTGCGATTTGTAAACGCAATGTCAATAGGCAACAATACTGAAGACGATGGGCGATTCCAAAAGAAGACTATGCTAAGGAAAAATCGTGTTGGGTGCAAGACACTCTGATTCCGGAGCCCGATAATTGGTCTCCAAAAGGGCAAAACTGTTGCAAAGATACTTTTATTCGAAAGTTCCGCAGAACGCTTACGGATAGGAAGACAATCGGGACTAACTTCGTCGTAGGGTTTTAGTATTTTGTAAAATTTGTGCTTCTCAAATGACTAGTTGGTGTATGGTTTCCTTTTGGTTTTAGATATCCTAAAGGATGACGTTCCAAGTAACTGTATATTTCAATCCAGCGCAATACAAAATGGCTACGCAGTAGTTCATGCAAGAATAAATACATTTAGATTTTTTTCAGCCGGTGGATTCCCGATTCATGTGTTGTACGTTTTGCGGGATAATACATCTTTACGACAGCGAATCTAGACAACCCCCACTTCAAACTCGTAAATGGAATTTCAACCGAACTGCTTTTCAAGCCAAGTTTTTTTATTATCTAGAACCTGCCTTGCTCTGTATGGCTACTTCGAACTATGTTGTCTAACTTGTAGGCTCAGTTATCTGTTACGCCCTAAATTTTTTTGCCTCTTCAAAATTCAACAGAAAGAATCGAACGTAAGTCACCGCAAATATAAGCAAAACCATAATAGTTTGGTGCTCCTGTTGACGCAATGTCTCGTCTAATTGAGAAGTAACCACATTTCTTATTAGGCATTCGTGACCAAACGTTTAAGTAATGTACTACTCACAAGGTAACTGAAAACTCCTCGACAGCCCACGACCGGTTTCGCCTTCTTGGGGCTCATCAGGTAGGCGCAGTCCCCGAGTTTCGGTCAACTTTATGTTCTACTTAAAGCGTTTAAGTGTTGGATCAATGCTCAAACGGCCGCGGGTTCGAGACCCCTTGGAGTCTGCTGAGATTCACATTGGTGATAAGCTCCAAAGAGCTGCGCAGTGTTTCTCGGCTTTTCAGCACTGATTGGCTTAACCTAATTAGGTAAAATCTCTAATGAATTTGGAGTTGATCTGTGGTGCAAAAGTGACACTTGATCGTTTGTTCACCTTTCAATTTTGCAATGTGTTCACAGTTAGTGGTGATTTGAAGGTTCTCCCGATCTACAAACTCCGTCATCCAATGGACAGAAATCAGCCTCATCTATTTAACGTTCGAAAACCTGTGGTTGGTAGAATCTACAAATCTGAAATAAGACCGCGGTGCCAGTGGTTTAAATCAACCCTATATCCATATATTCAGTTGGTCTGATGGTCCCTCCAGCCAGCGCTTTGGTTTTTATTAATGGAATTTAATAAAGCACATTATAAAAAGGCCACTTCTCGCCAAATTTACATCCAAAAAGACTCGTGCTTATTCAGTACCTGAGTTAATTACATACCAGATCAATGCGTTAACTCGTGGAGGAGGCTGACTAAAATCTTGGAAACCGCGACTCCAAAGAGTGTAGAATATAAGGTTGACGGAACCTCGAGGACTGCGCCTACCTGATGAGCCCGAACTGGAAGGGCGAAATCGGTCGTGGGTCGTCGAAGAGTTTTCAGCAACCTTGTGAGTAGTTCCCTTTATGAAAGTGTATTACCTGTTTTTGCTGACTGCTTTGTATTCCATCAGTAATCATGAGCCTTGAAAACAGCGTCAGTTTCCATTCATGTGCTTTTATCGCCCCGATTTTCAAATGAGTAAACACAATACTGATGTTTTTTGTAAAATGCAGAGGTCAGAACAACGCCTAGTGAGCCATACACTTGATTTGTTCTCCTGGAACCTTCGTGGAGGTTTGAAAATCACCTGTTTAGCCAGATGATTACTGGTAACTTGATTCACAACAAACTTTCCTCAAAACTGACTAGAATCGTTTGTCACCCGATAGTATTTTTGGGATTATCACGAAAATGTCAAACCTAAAAGCCTCGGTTGTACTACTAACGTGTTGTTCATTTATTTTCCAATCTCCTCAAAGCCGATAATCAGAAAAATGAATATCGTAAGTTTGCTGCAAGTGAAGGGATTGGAATATGGATATGGAATTTCAATCGATAGCGTAGACTCTACCCTGAATACTGCTTTCTATTGTAGTTTTAAAATACGCTGTAGAATACGAATGTAAGTTTCGACATCCTCTGAACGTCCTTGAGACCGTAGTACACCTTTCCACAGTCTACGCAATCCGTAATCTCGATTTGTTTTCCCATTTTTTCAAGTCCTCATCAATGGAAAACTATATCACGGTAAATAGATCGGTGATTCAGGATGTACTTTATTGCTGATTGCTTTGTTACGTTTTTTTTCAATAACGTCCCAGATACCATTGACCTGATTCCAGCTTGTGGCTCCACCCGGCACGAGAGCACACGGTGGAAACTGAGCCAATGTATTCGGTTGACTACTTTGATCCGTTGTCGATTGTTGTATGACAAATACTTCACAAAAGACATGGGTATGGAATACGCAACCTAATTAAGTGTGTCGTACGGGGGACAATTTGAGACATGTTCGCAGGAATTTGGTTGAATGATGAAATAGAGAATGGTGATTCTCTGGGTTTGATGCATTTTGAAAAATTACGGACGATAAACACTCGATTTTTTTTCGATACGTTCCTCTTAACAAAAGACCTAACATTTTTCTACTGCACTCTATGTTGCGAACCCAGCTAATCGAACGGCTAACTCAGGTATGATATCTGTGTAGTCACATATCAACGTGTCTACCAAGCAGTTATATCAAGATGTTCACTTCATGAGGAATATCCTATTTTTTAGTTGATATATGGTCTAGCGGTGAGTTTATGGTGTGCAAATTGCCCGCGGATTTAGAAAGAACCTGAATTAAACTGAGCTATCAACTTGCGTATGCGTGTTCAGCGATTAAGTTGGAATGATTTGAAAGAGTTCGGCATCTTGTAACCCGAAGAGTCCCAAGCCAAAATCGCGCCCTTCTTCGAAACCACCTCTCCATTTCTCTTAGCCGTACTTTTCGGCATTAATGTGTTTTTTTGAGACCAAACGTCGTAAGGGGAGTACTTTTTCCCTCATTTTACAAGAAAGGAAGCTTGATGTATTTTTTTCAAAAAAAACCGGTTAGTACAGAAACGCCAAGTTTTAACTCCTATCGAATGCCTTGTTAGTGAACTTGCCCGTACCTGCCATGCTCCATCGTTGCATACGCGGGCGTGTCAGTAACGTCATCCTCTTTAGTTTTTCAGAGATGCCCAAAAAGTAGCATTGATTTTACCCTTAATCCCCTGTTGTTGTACCCTCATCCGCGCCGTTGTGACAGTCGTGTTTTACGATTTGTATGCAATCGGTTTTAGCTAGGCATGCCTGCGCGCGTAGCATTTCAACAAAAAATTTCCATCGTAGTTTGAAAGGCATTCGCCAACGCATAGGCGTCATATAATGTTGGTTTTTTGAATTGTAGATCCACTTTACTAGTTGTTTCACCATAGAGATCTCTCAAAAGTGCATATCGTAGTTCACCTGAGTCATTAAGCCGGTCCCTTTTGGGAGATACTCACATGCCTTCCTAGAGCAAAGGAATTCAGCCCGAGAGGTTATGCGCTCTTTTATGGTGGGATGGTTTCATTTCAGCGCAGCGTTTTGATTCACAGCAGTTCATGAGAAAAACCAGCNGTAGCTTATCCAGTACAATTTAACTGACCCAGTCTATGCTCATCGTATCATTGTATAACAATGGGCGAAAGCAAGCAGTTGCATAGGCACTATAATAGGAAGGCTGAAAAAAATTCGTACTTGCTATGCTCCAAGGGACAGACCACAATGAGATCATAACAACAAAAGCGACAACACATCATTGAATGGAACGTTACATAATGCCTACGTAGATTTAAGTAAACATGGTAGTTCATATGTATGTTGAGATGAGGGGCTTTTCACTTAGGGATTCGGTGAAAATTATGTCAATATTTTGGGTTTTCTCAAGAGACGTCACCCAAATAGGCATTTCAGGCACTGCGCATTGTTTCTTGTTCCATTCTAAGCACGCTCGTTGGATGTGTCGGCAGCCTGGAAGATGCTGGAGAATTCGCCGAACTAAGTGGAATAACACCAGATGTTTACCGCAGTCAGTTTCTTGCATGTAAATTCTTTCGACAGTCGGGCCCACGTGATTCAACGTGAAAAAATATCAATTGATTGAGTGGCCCACACATGTGATTTGGCTTTAAACGAACGCAGCACTTTGGTTTATTTGCCCATTAGCGCCGATCAGACGTCTGACAAAAAGCAAACCCATCGTTTCGGTCGGTGCGCAGAGCCGGTGAACAGGTTGGTAATCTATCGTTCCAAAAAGTGTCGAACTGATGGAATCCGAAGTGCAGCCCGGTCGAGCGAACTGAAAACAACCTCCCCTAATCCTTCTTGAACAAGTGCTCAGTTTTCGAAGCCACGGTATACGTTTTTACGTTGTTCAGTAAAAATACATGCGGTTGTTCATTCTGAAAACAATTTTGTCACATCTTTTTTTGCATAAAATTTTTGACCGGACGTGGAACATTCAAACTTTTTTATGATTCGGCTTTGGGTGTCCGTCATAAATCAGTGTTCTAATAATCGATTGTCTTTTTGGTGTTCGGTCAAATGTGTATAGTGACTATCGACGTATTTCATTTTGAGTATTTCATTTGGTTTTTCTAATCAATCTAGATGCAGCTGTAAAAGATGTGAGTCAGCTGTTCTCTCATCGTATATAAATTACTCACAGACGTCTTTTGCTTGTTGTAGAAGCTACAAAGTCACAAACATTCAACTGCTTTTCTGATCACGTGATAAGAGAACATTGTTCAGGCGCCGACATATTTTAAGTTATGATTCGCTTTGCACATATCTCAAGGACAAAACCCGATCGCCCCTTCTGTCTTCTCGTAAAAAACTTTATTATTCAATTCGGAACCTCTGAAACTGTGTTGCCGTTTACACCCAGTGAAATCCCTAAAAGCAACGCGAGGTCATGTGTCCGGATAACTTCAGCAACTGAGTGTGCTGCACCAGACCGCCCCATGTTTACGTCGGCAAGACATTCGATATATCGTGATACGCGTATGTTCCAGCTGAATCTCTCATCAAGAAGAGCATCATGTTGACCTGATGAGCCCAAAGAACGGCAAAACGAATCTTGGAGTGTCCAAGAGTTTTCAGTAACCTTATGAGTAGTTTGTGAGCATTCCAAAATTTCTTAATTTATCGGTCAGAACAATATCGTCCACGACTGGAACTCCCACACACCATTCTAATCGAAACTTGGTCAAGTGAGCAACTTCGATCCTTTCCAAAAAGCTGAGAACCCGGTTGAAAATTATCAGCAGCAAAAATCTACATGGCGATTAGAACCAGCTAGCTGGCGGCCAATAACCGAAGGCCAAACCGTTAGGCCAGTGATCAGCCAATCAGCAGTGTGATCTAATCGCGCATGAACTAGATATATCGCAACTTATATTTTGCTCGAAAAATTCGCTCATTTGGTCCAATTTTGGCTGTCTGCTTGCGGGAATGATAGAAAGCTCAACAGTCGAGGAAATTGTCCATCGTCGTCAGCTAGTAACTGTGCTTACAGGTAGAGCGTGCTTAAATAAATGAACTTTCATAACACTGTCCATCGCAACGAAGTGTTGAACTAAGTTTGCAAATTCCTTGAAACGCTAGGTATTTTGCCCGGATTCTGATGAGAAGGTAGCTATCGGTGACGGACCAGTAATCGCATGTCTAAAAGTAGCAAGATTATAAACACCAGGACACTGTACTGAACAACAAACAAGATCTAAACACAGGATTGTGACGCCAAACGTCATTCAAGAACATTTGGTTTTGCTTGGGACAAATGATCGATTGAACGAACATTTAAGGCTATGTTCTCAGAGTCTCAGAAGGCCGGCTGTTTTCCAGACTGGTTGTTTCTTTGTCCAAGTGATTGTAAAAGTCCTAATGCTTGAATAATTCACTGTCATAGCAGCGAAGACTTCCTTGTTCAAGTGAAGTCGAGCTTTACACAAAGCCTTCAAACACAAACAGTTGCTTCATTCCTTTTGGGAATCATTTGTGTTTATCTCACAGAACTCCAGGAAGCCTAGAGTTCGCGATCTTCCAGTTCGTCGTTCGAACAGAGCCAATCACTCACCAGTGACTGATAAGCACAGTGAATAGCTGTCACTCAGACTGTACCACTTAATCGGACCTCGGTCAGCTGACACTCGAAGAGCAAGACAACACGTGATCATTTGACGTGGATTCCGTGATTAAACACGATGGATTACTGAGATAGGGGCGGAAACAGTGTAAAAGACCGGTTGAATGGCTTTGAAAGCATCTAGGGTTTGTGGGGGGCTGCTATCACCTTGAATAACTAATTCATATGCGTTTGTGTACCTGGAATCGCTGACAACCCACAGTCCAGCGAATGACCTGATGAAAGAAAACACAGTCGCTGATGTCCAGTGGGGGTAGAGTTTGAGACCAACAGGGAAATCTGTCGTGCGGCAATTCGTGAAAGGCTGTTCTGCGGATAGAACAATAAACTCCGGGACCCGACCAGTGAGGTTACTGGTAACAGGGATATGAGTTGTTTTGAGAACTAGAACGAAGGGATAGCTTCTAGTTTGCCCCGTTTCACAAATAGTTCACGATCTTGTTCAGCATAATCTGAGAATTCTCTCAATGAAATGTAACAAATAGGCTTTGGATTTTGGCCATGGGGACTGAAAATGCTCAAGAACAACCAGATTTGGCAGTCACATTACTCCAATGCTTATCGGTCCAACTAATCACGCGAGCAAATCACGACCGGTGTGCAAGAACAAAATATGACTGATGTAAATTCGAATACGATATCCTAGGGTGTAACAGAAGAAATGAAGATTTTCAACAAGACAACAGTCAACACGCTATAAAAGCAATTAGTTTACGGCCAATTCACGTTAAAATGCAATACTCTGTGGGACAATAAAGGGTGAATATCCTATGGTCGGCCTCAAACAATGTGACAGAATCTCTAGCTGGCCATAGGCAAGCGATCACTCCATAAATCCACTGAATATTCAGTTAGAATCCCTCCTCGGATACTTGAGAATTTTATGTGTGTAATGCTCCTTAGCAGGATTAAAACTGGTCGTAGGTTTTGAAAGTTGTCTGATCAATCTAATAATTAATACGTTTCGGCAAGAAACTAAATTACTGCCTTGTCTATTGACTGCAAAATTTTGGGGACCATTAGTTTAAGTATGTGGGTGTCTGATATCCACGTGATTAGACATAATACAATATGTTATCTCTGTCTCAGCACATGATATCACATAATTTTATTTGTAAAATCTTACTCGTACCAGAATAGCCCATGTAAGTTATTTTTCCCCAGAGAGCGAACTGCACAATAAGGGTTGGTTGCCATCCTGACATCTTTTTCTCAGACTTTTGCAGAGTATCCGTCTTGTCGTCTGGAGGTCTACTTGTAAACATACTGTACAAATTTGGCATCGAAAACTGTCTACGTGAAATAACATACGGTCAGTGAAGACGAAAGTCACACATAAGGGGTCGTGTATTTTCCACATATTTAGCCATCAACGAAACGTGCTTTTTTTGCTGTAGAAGTTTGCAGGGTCTGTGGTGTTTACGTGCACACCATCTGTTTCAACAATCTTCGACCTGTTCAGGTATAATCAGTTCAGTGATTCTACACCAAAATGGGCAAACACTGGACTCCAGTTTCGCTCATATTTGAGCTGATCAGCAGCACATATCCTGGGGTCTATCACGGTTTGAACTTCGCACACCTGAAATACGAGGATGACGTGTTACTCTTACTCCAACCAGTCCACGCTGGACACCTCTAAATTTTCAAATCTGAACAGGTGAACATGCTCATACATCAACGATGTAATTGGTAAGCCCGACCGTTCGAAAGACGACCCAATAACTGTTCCGTTTGTGACGATCGATTGACCTGACTGTCAGGACTATTCAGTCAATTAGCAGCCCCAGCGCTTGAAACCTGCTGGACAGTTATTTTGCTTATGTGTGGATACAGAAAAAACCATTTACTTGGTAGAAAAATTGTCACCTTTTCCCAATTTTTAGTGGAAAAAAGGTCACCCAAGCTAGCGTAATTGGTAGCAAAATTCCCTGTTTGATATTCTGAAGTCGCGGTGATTTCTAATGAGACAACGTGTGGAGGTTGACTAGCTGCAATGTATCCACTGTCCAGGCAATGTATGGGTTGTATTAAAACCAAAAGTCTATACTGTGGTTCACAGTAAGTCAGAAGAACATGTAAGTACGGCACGGGTGTATGTAAGTACGGACACGGGTGTATCGAGTATACGCGGCCAAAACTGGTCCGCTTTCGTGGCAGGTAAGCAAAACGACTGAGTCACATATCCAGTCAACCCACGGTGCTCACCCGAGCCAACCAATCGGACACACATCCAATCAGCCACTCAAGTCACATGCCACATCAATGGTGGAACGACGAACGGACACGCACACGCGCTAAGTCTCTGACACATCGAAGCAGCTACTACAGTCTACCAATCAACCGGCACGCTGGCACTGAGTGATCAAAAGATATCGATCGCGGCGGTATTTAAAACGCACCGAGAGGAGTGTCGACTGAAAAGAAATATAATAAACGCGTAAGCTTCTACGCTAGATTGCTTCGTTCACTCGCTAGAGGCTGGAAAGCTTTCTGTGCATGATTGTCTCGAGGCAAACCCAAACAAATACGCTTGAGGAAACACTACTCTGAAGGTCGCTAAAGACTCCCTGATAATCGACGAGTGCTCGCGTGCTTCCTGGAATTCAGTACGTAAACGCAGTTTTCGGATTTCCCATAACTGTATATCCAACGTGAAACGGAATTCCACGCATATCTAGAACATCCATATAGCCGAATTCATGTGACAAAACTTTTTCGAACGATGTCTGGAAGTATCCTCACAAGAAGCTCCAAATCTCATCTTTTGTTTCGATATTGAGTAAAATCTCTGTTTGAGAATGCTGTCTACACTAACAGACACTAACATATGTCCAACAAATGCATACTGTTGTTGAAAACATGTTTACTACACACCAAATCACTCAGTCACGTTTTTCATGATAAATTCTGACTGGCCATTTCAACTTGTCACCCACAGTGTACATCCCGAAATACATGTGTGAGTCATCTTTTGTTACCCTCAATTCAGTCACACTGGTGCACCAAAGATTGAGAGGCTAATATATA